AAAACAAAACTTAATTTGTTTGTATTTTTATAATGGTTTCTTTTGCCTAACTTTGTGGCCTGATTTAGCTACCAACTGCAGTTTATTAAATATCCTTAGAACAACAATTTTCCTTATTGAACAGATGCCACAAAATTAAGTTGCAATGAACACTGCTGTAGTATCTGAACTCTGTTCATCAGAGCTCTATTTGTCCCTGCAAGTTTGCTTACTGCTTTCAACTTCTCTCCTGCCAAACGCTCTAAAAGTTCTTTAGCTTGGGCCCTCTCACTCCACAGCCCAGATTGGCTCTTTTCTCCCCTGAGAATTTGCTAATTTGAGAAACACTTTTCTACATACTGCTATTACTTAATCTTTATTTATTTATTTATTTATTACCCAAAAGGAATACATGTATAGACTCAGCTCTTATTCTACACAGAACTGCACTGATACCTTTTTAAATTATAAGAGAATTCCCTAACCAATCAAAATACTGCATCATTCAATTTATAGCTTAAGAGCACAGGGTCCAGAATCAGAGTCTGTGGTTTCAAATTCTGTCTTAAAATTACTTAATCTCTCTGTGCTTCAATTCCTTTTCTATAAAATGGATACAATAATAATATCTATTCATAGGGCAGTTCTGAGGATTAATTAAAAGAGTTAATACAGACAAAGCACTTATAACAACGTCTGGCTTATAAAAATGCTCAGCAAATGTTAGATTTTATAGTAATTATCATCATTATCTCTGAAGTTCACCACTGAGAGAAGAGTTACATTACAAAAATGCCTTAAGATTTTTCACCAACTGGAATGAATACCAGAAAGAGCTTAATTTGGTTTCAAGACAAAGACTTTTTGTAAGGTTACAAACATTTCATCTCTAAATATTTTCAAAACAATTGAACAGATTTGCCTTAAAACAGTTAAATTTTGTTTTGGTGAGATAAAAGAACAAATTATTTTTTCAATTTTGGGGCTGATCATTCCTTAAAAAATAAATTTTATTGAGGTGTAATTTGCTTAGAGTAAAATGTACCTGTTTAAAGTGTACAGTATGATGAGGTTTGACAACGTATATACCTGTGCAATCTCTGCCACAATGAAGACATAAAGATACTGAACATTTTCATCATCGCAAAAGTTTTTTACTCTTTAACAGTCAATCCTTGCCCCACCTTCAGCACAGGCAACCACTGATCTATGCTAGACAGTGGTTCTCAAAGTGTGATCTCGGGGATCTGAGAAGACAAAGCTATTTTCATACTGAAAAACTAAGATGTTATTTGCCCCTTTCATTCTCATTTTCTCATGAGTGTACATTGGAGTTTTTCAGAGGTTGTCTACATGATGTATGATATTTTAACAGATTGAATGTGGAAGCTGATATGAGAAGCTAGCTATCTTCTATTTAGCCAGATGTTAAAGAGATTTGCAAAAATGTAAAACAACATCACTTTTTTTACTGAAATAGTTGTTTTTGGGAAAAAAATTCTTTTAAGTTAAAGGTATGTTATTTTTGTTAACACGTAAGGGGTTATTATTATTTTACATTCAATGAATACATAATTAAAAACTTTCCAGTTTTAATTTCTAATATGGTTAATATCCATAAATACAGCCCACAAAATGAAAGCTCTTTGGAATCTTAATATTTAAGAGTATAAAAAAGCCTGGGACTACACTGTTGAACTAGATGATGGTTCCTCCGAATTTTAAAATGCTATGATTCCATACTATCTGAAAGCTAGGTATAGAATTTTCAATCAACTATTCACTTATAACATGAAATAGTGGTCTGAATGTGCTGATATATCTCTTAGCACTATCTAAAACAGATATAACCATTTCACCATTTAAAACGGAAGAAAGCTAGCTTTTAACTTTCTTTTGTAAGGGATCATGCCATCCTATTTTTTTAAGAATGCCTTCATTAAAACTAATAAAAAATATCATTACCTTTTACCAAACACAGAGGCTTTTCTTTCAGATGTGGGTTTGTTTATATTCAACTTTCCAAAGGCTGGTTTCTCTTTGCTTTAACAAAATGAAAAGAACAAACTTTAAAAAATAAATATAAAAAAATATTAGTTTAAGAAATTTTTGGAAATATGTTGGAACTAGCACCTCTTTCCCATTACCTATAAAAATAATTCAGAATCATGAAAATTTTTAGTAGCAATCACAGCTGTTACAATGGGATAGGCTAACAACATGCACGAGTAATAATGCTAAAATGTTAAGAAAGCAGAAAAAAACCATATCTACATTCTCATTTCAATTATTTTAACATATGTACATTTATGGATAACCTTAAAGGAAAAAAATTTAAAAATAGGTATCTTCAATCATAGGATGATAGCTACATTTAACAATTTTCTTTTAAGGCCTACTCTATTAGAATGCAGCTACACCTAAGAACATACATTATGTAAATAACAAACCTAAAACATTGCCAATGTCAGCCTTTTAGTTTTCAATATAATTCAAGGCATAAATCTTTTAGTGCATGGAATGTGTAACAATACAAAAAATTTCTGATTTCAGAAGTTAAAGACACAAATAATCCAAATTTCTAAAAGTAGCTGAGGCTTATACAATGTAAACCTAAGTAATTTAAGTACAGTTAGCAAGTAACTTGTACCTTGGTATCAGAGGATTGATATAGCCCTCAGTGGCTTACAAACAGCCTTCTCTTAATTAGAACAAACTCACAGAGAAAAACTAGTTTATGATAGTATAATTATATATCCTTTTCCAGTGAATACCGAGAAAACAGTTTGGAGAAGTGGTTCTGTAGATTCTTCTAAACTGCAGCTTATCATTGAGCAAATAATAACTGACAATTTTGCCAATTGGATATACTTCAGTAAATTCAAAGTTCTAGCAATAAGCCTGCTCAAATAAGTAGGTCTAGAATAAAGGAGGAAAATAAGAAAGAGTGCTGAAAGGGAATTAACAATCCTTTTCAGGGGTTGTTGGGCAAAATATGTAGCTTTGGAAATTTAAGGGACAAATGAGATAAAACACAACTAATAACAGGCCAATTTTTAGCCTTCATTAACCCAAATTAGGTAGCACTGTGAACAAACAAGATTCATAAGAACATCACTCATAGTATATTTTTGTGTTAATCATCTTTACAGATTCCTTTGTCCAAAATGGTAATGCATGAGGTACTTACGTTTGAGGGGTATGGAGGCCTTGTTTATTGAAATCCTGAGACCTTAAATCCTGCATGGAGAGGCGGCCAGCACCACCGGTGGAAACTGAACTGCGCTTCATGCTTACTACCTGCATTCATGAATTCAGTATTAAAACATCGTTCCAGATATAGATGCTACATTAAGCACCAACTGTTATCTTCATCCTCAAACAGAAAGCAGCCAAGTTCCACTATTTCTTCAAGATAATCTTTTCCTGGGCCCTTTTGTTCATATAAGGTGAAGTTCTCATTTGCAGGGAATGTGTACTTAACTTCATTTAAAAATATTCAACACACACGAATATTGACTAACTGCCTACCATGTACACCTGAGTGTGCAAGGAAATTGAAATGACACAATGATAAATAAGGTATAATTTCTGCCTTCACATATCTACAGTAGTTAAAGCCCTGAAACCTAACCCAGATCACCTTACTGCTGTTGGCTGCACCTTTTCATTGGGAAAGTCAGAGGTTATCTGACAAGAACTACCTCAAGATGTTTCCTTTACTTTGGTCTTAGAGAATACAGCTATTCTGTTTTCTTTTCCTAACATCCATCCCTCTTGCTCTGTCCTTAACCCACTGTTTCCCATTTATATTAAATTAGTGCAGGGGCGCCTGGGTGGCTCAGTCGTTAAGCGTCTGCCTTCGGCTCAGGTCATGATCCCGGGGTCCTGGATCGAGCCCTGCATCGGGCTCCCTGCTCGGTGGGAAGCCTGCTTCCCCCTCTCCCACTCCGCCTGCTTGTGTTCCCTCTCTCGCTGTGTCTCTCTCTGTCGAATAAATAAATAAAATCTTTAAAAAAAAAAAAATTAGTGCCCCTTTTACTTCAATCTCCCTTCCAACAAGGATCAATTATCTGGTCCACAAAATGGTCTAGAGTTTATGTCTCAAAATTAACATTTCATTTCCTTCATACCTACTGAAACAGTTGCCTCCTAGAATACTCATGACTGACAAATCTTTTGATCCTATCTCATCTTTGTGGCATTAGACACTATACACCTAGATCTCTCAGGTTCTGTCTTGGTTTCCAGCGAAGTGGACATTTGTGGTTATCCTGTCACTTCTCTGGGCTCTCCTTTGTCTTTCAAACTGATTACACTCTTTCTACATGGTTTGCCACCTATTTCTTTTACTTTATACATTTCTGCTATCCATTCAACTTTCCCATTCACCTATACGTGCACTCCAAATCTCCACTTAAAATGTAATTTAAGATTAAGACTTTCCTACACGCCCACTAGGACGTTACACTAGTATCTCAAACGCCACACCTCAAACAGTTCTTCATCTTGTCCCTCCTCTCCCTGCTCCCATCAATTCTCCCCCTCTCCTCCCTCCAGACTCTGCTCCCCACCAGTGTGCCCCTAGGTCCTCCTCTTCTCCCTTGGAAGTCACTGTCTGTAGAAATTTATTGTACTCCGGGAAACTAGCGCCTCGCACAGACTCGGCCCGGAGGCCTCTCAAAATAGTAGACTAAAACGTTGTCAGGGCCGCTAAATCTAAGGTGTTGGCGCCATCGCTTTCTCCCTTGAGAACAGTTCTGCCGGCACAAAATTAACTCAAAGTCATTAGTTACCTTTCTTCCAGTTTCGTGACACAACCCAGGGACCGAATTTCTGTAACCCGTGCAACTACTCACCGGGCAGGACAGCAGCCGCCAAAACACCCAACTCCTCCCTGCACCCGCGGGCGCAGTTCGAATTTTAAAATCTCCGCTGGCGTTCACGTCATCACGTACGTCGAACGCGTGCGCAGCTCTTACGCGCCGCTCCCCGTCGCGGGAATTCTGCATATGGCTGGTGTCCTGTCGTCTCACTCAGCGCACTGGCATGTCTGGTAAGTGCGAGCGTCTCCTAGAAAGTCTGGTCGGATTTCTAAAGTTAACGCTGAAGAGACTGGCGCTGTACGTCTCTGAGTAGCTGACAGAGCTCTCCAAATCGCCCTGGAAACGCCTTTTCCGTACAGCAACATGGCCGCGCCCGTTGGCTCGTAGAAAAAGAGAAATTTTCTTTGCCATGAAAGTGGCGTCTTTCATGACCACGGTTTAGAGGGTTGCTTCTTTCATGATGCAAGTCTGGGAGACGTCGTGCAGTTTTTCTGAAAGGGGAAGCGGTGAGGTAGGAGATAGTGACTGCTGAGTGTGGGTGTAGCTGGCTTCAAGGATCGAGCCGGTGTGGCTGCCGCTAGGGTTCGGGTTCGCAGTGTGCTCGCTAGGGATTCATGGTCTTCTAGTGGTGGCCCCCGCGTGAAGCTACGAGGAACCCAAGGGGGTGAGGGGTGGAGGTTTGGGTGTGAAAGGGAGAGGTAGGAGGGAGAGAGAGAGAAAGAGAGAGAGAGAGAGATTAAGCACAGTAGTTTACTTTGCTAAAAAAGGACTTCCCTGCTTCCCTGAGTTTGAACTCAAAGACATGTACTGCCCAGTACCTGGAGAGTGGTGGGGGTGGGAGAAAAGCTTTGACCCAAAGTCCTGATACTGATTCTTGGAGCAGTTTTGCGGTTAACTACAATTGTAATTTTGGGCACGTCACCTTTTCTGAGTTTCAGTCTTCTTGACTAAATTTCTTGCTTTCACTAGCCATTACATTACCTCCTCACCACAAGTGGTGACTCTGAAGGGAGGGCCAATACCAGGATTACCATCACTAATAGCATTTGTTTGAACAGTTGCTGTGTGTCAGGCACTGCACAGCACTTCATGTAGATTATCTCGTTTAATTCTCTAAACTGCCTCCTGAGATGTCATAAACAATGATGAATTTGAGGCTCTGTAGTAAGAGTAAATAACTTGACCATGGTCATACTGCTAACACTACATGGAGTTAGAAGTTTGGTTCTAAATGCTGCTATTACTAGCTGTGCTGTTAAATACTTATTCCTGTCTCCCCTGTTAAGTTCTCCATTACACTAGATTTAGTAGGCAATATCCGGAACTTTACCATTTTTTTTTTGGTAAAAAGATAAGGAAGTTTTGAAAAAACATAGTTGCTGAAGGAGGACTGCTCAGAACCAATAACCTTGCAATTTTGTTAGGGTTTGGTACTTCTGAAATCTTAAAATTGCATTGTGCTTAGCTTAGACCAGTCTTTCATTTTATGTTTTTTTGCACTCCGTTGGTAGAGTGGTTAAGTATGGCAGTGTTAATGGGCTGACTTATTGCGGCAAATGTGCTTTGAAAAAACAAGAGCTGACCTCTCTGTGACCTCTCTAGGTTTATCTCATTAAAAGGATGAATTCACATAGGTAATGTAGTATTCTTTGCTTTGACAGGATACTCTCACCTTTAAGAATTGAATGACTTCCTGACTTGGAGGATGTGGACCTAGTGGCTAGATTAAAAGCGAACAGGAGGTTGTGTGGAGGGCCCAGGAAGATAAGAGGATTCAATTGGGAGTCCAGAAATAAGATCACATTTTAATTCTCTTTTGCTAAATTGGCTGAAAAATTAGAATTATCAACCCTGTAATTAAAAGTTTATATTAAAACATTACATTTTTCCTTAACATATGAATGTCAGATTCTCTTTTGTGTATATGTTAAGTTTATATACTTGCACATGAAATCTACCTGTGTATGTGAAGTATATTTTTATTGAAAGGCAGGACATTTAAGAAGTTAATCTGGAAAATTGGGTTTTACATCTAGACTCTCATTTCCAGAGTTTTTTTTTCTTTTTTCTTTCTTTTTTAAGAGAAGAGAATGTCTGTGGTGCACCAGCTCTCACCAGGATGGTTACTAGATCATCTTTCTTTCATTAACAACATAAACTATCAACTTCACCAACATCATGAGCCTTGTTGCAGTAAAAATGAGCCCACTTCATCTGTCCACTTTGATTTTCTTCAAATGGATTCTTTGATCTCTTTGGGAAACTCTGCTACCTTTATTGCTTTTGACTCTACCACTAAGCCAGATAATGATGCCAGAGGAAATTGTGAAATCTTCATACAGAGATATGTTTTTCGATCTGAGCTATTTAATGTCACCAAACCTTATATAACTCCAGTTGTTCACAAAGAATGCCAACAAAGGAATGAAAAGGAAGATCCAATGGATGGTATTAAAGAAGAAAACCGCATTTCTATTATTGGGAAGGTAGAAAGTTTTAATACATTTCTATTTTTCTGCAGAACATGCAGAAGTTTATTATTACAATATCTTCTAATTTACTAAGTCTAAAAAACAATCCATAAAGCGTAGGAAGGCTTTAGTTATAGCCAATGTTATTTTTAACTCTTTACTAATGTTCTACCATTCTTAGAAGACCAAATGCATATTTCAAAAGTAAGCAAAGTTTGCTCAAAAGTGAATGCTCTGTAAATTAAACAAAACTAAACAACAATAACAAAAACCCTTTCTGCTTATTCATTTGTATTAATCGCATGTTTTTACAACTGTTTTTGTTCAACAACATGCTGCTTTGTCTGCAAAATCCTAAAGCAGTTTATGGATTTTGGGAGATTCTTAGAGACCTGTCCATTGGGGATAAGCTCATATAATGAAGTTTGCAAGAAGCGTGATATTTCATAAAGTTTTTAATAATAAAAGTAGAAAGCTACTATAGAAAATTGTATATGTTCTTAAAGCTTATGTATTTGTGTATACACTGGTGCAGTCTTTTGGTGAAGTTTCAAGAATGCTATACAGGATCAATAATTATGTTTTAATACTTTTTATGTTTCTGAAGAGTTCAGAGGTGATTATACAAAGTCCATTTCAGATAGATTATATTAACATTTTCTTTGATAGAGATAGGAATAACTTTATTACTCACCCACAAATGTTTGAGATCTTTCTGTGTGCTGTTGTACATACAGGGATGAAACAAGATAAACATAATTGGTACCCTCATGGATCTTACAATTGAGATCCATGAAGAAAGATATTAAATAAGAAAGCATGTTGAGAATTAGAATAAGGCAAGTAATAGGGATAATTTATTACATTGTTCTAGTTTCCTGAAGTAGAACTTTTAATATTATAAAATTTCTTCTTTTTTTTCCTTGGACAAATACTTATTGACCATTTGCTGTGTGTCAGGCATAAGAAAGAAAATATATAATGTCTGAGATTTCAGTAAAATAGTATATAGATTATTTATCAATACTATTACTAATTCAGAAAAATAATAACAAGCATTTACAGTTTACTAAGTATGGGCATCTTTTAATGTTTTTACTTATGTTGGGTAAATTTCTCATTTTAATATGGAAAAATATAGATGGGTGTATGTAATGAGTTATCTTGACAAAACTTACCTTAATTCTGATATGCTAAGGCAAATTGTACAATTAGCTTAATCTTCAGTCCATTTATTTATTCAGCCAGCAAACATTTATTGTTAGCCTGCTGGGAGTATGCTACCATGTAAGCACTGGTGTTTCAGCATTAAGAGGTATAAAGTCCCTGCTTTATTTTGCACTGTTTTACATGTTCTTTTCTATGCAGTTGTTAGATACAGAACAGTGTTAGTATATTTGATTTGTACCTAGCCCTCAGATCAATCATAAAGACCTATTGAAAGTGTACTGGATTTTTTTTTAACAATAGTATATGCATAGTTCATCTCCTCAGAAATGAAGTTGAGAATTGTACAATATATATCAACTGATAGATGATACTAGTAACTTTATACAGTGTCACAGTTTTCTTGTGTTCCATGGATGTCTGTGCTACATTTTATCATTGGTACTAGCTCTTATTAATAGCAGATAAGGCTTAGGTGACCTTACATCACTTATTAAGCTTGTAATAATAATAATAATAAATAGTAATTTTTAAAAAAAATTTCCCCAATTTTTTTATTTGGGAAAGCTTATTTCCTTAGTCCATACACTTTTCACTGATTTTGACCTTACTAGTCGGTTAAGCTCTTAAAGACTGAGATACACACTAAGGAAAATGTGATAAAAAAGAAATACTAATATATTTCAAAATATCAGTATTGTGACAGATGGCAACATAATTTTCTTCCTGTAATTTACTCTTTAGAAACGTAAAAGATGTGTTGTTTTCAATCAAGGTGAATTGGATGCTATGGAATATCATACAAAGGTAAGGTGTAAAATGTTCATTATGACACTGGAAGATCAATGTGAAGTAGTATAAAACAATATAAATAAGGATGTTCTTAAAAATTAAACAATTATTTTGATCAAAGAATTTAATAGTGGAGTGATTTTTTTTTTTCTTTTATGATTTCTGGATTTTTGAGTCATAATTAAAAAGGTATTTCTTCTTCCAGGCTCTAAAAGAATTTTCCCATGGGAAAAAAATGAAAGAATTTTCCCATGTTTTTTTCTAGGATATTATTTCATTTCACATTTATATCTTTGATTCATTTAGATTTCATTGTGGTGTGAAGTGTGAGTTACACATACACATACGTATTTGAGTTTATTTCTGGATTTATGTCTTAATTTGTCTATCTTCCAGTCTCTTTTCATGTTTTATAACATGAGTATGTTTTAATATTTGGTATGCTTACCCTTTCTTTTATCTGAATTTCTCTCTTACAGAATTTTTCTGTTTTGTTTGTTTGTTTATTTTCCCACATGAATTTCCCATTAGGATCAGTTTAATTCTGGTTAGAAAAAAGAAGCAATTGGAATGTTTATGGCATCAAGTTAAATTTATAAATTAAATTAGGGCCTACTGACATCGTTAAGATGTTGATAACACAAATGTGTTCTTTCCATTTGTTTCAGTTTCTATTGTTGTTCCATAAGATTTTCTTTATAAAAGTCTTGCCAATTTCTTAAGTTGCTGTAGTTTTTTTTTTTTCTTTTAATCTCTGGGGTTTTCCAGTTAATACTTATAACTCCTGAAAATAGAAATACTTTAAATTACAGGTTTCCAATTATTTTATCTCTAATTTACTTCTCATTTGTAAATGTATAGCCTGGAAAATACAATATTAAATCATATTTATGACAGTGTATATCCTTGTCTTGTTTCTGACTCAGTGGGGATGATTTCATTACTAAGCATAATACTGGCTTTTGGACTGACCTGCAAATAGCATGTAAGGAAGTTTCCATCTGTTCTTTTTTATTACCTTTTTTTAAAAAAAAAAATATTGATTTATTTGAGAGAGTGTAAGAGAGTGAGCATGAGCCGGGGCGGGGTGGGGGGAAGTGAGGAGGGGGAGCAGAGGGAGAGGGAAGAGGGAACCTGATGTGGGGCTCAATCCTAGGACCCCGGGACCGTGACCTGAGCCGAGGGCAGACACTTAACTGACTGAACCACCCAGGCACCCCCCATCTATTGTTATTTATTGTTATTATCAAACATGGTTATTAAATTTTATGAAATGTTTTTTAAGCATCTGTGGAGATTGAATGGGTGATTTTTCTACTAATATTTCCCTTTGATTTTTCCTCATGTGTAACCATCCTTGTGTTTGTAGTATATATTCCAGATGACCAGCTGTCAGTGCCTCTCCTCACTCAGAGATGCATGGTAAATTGTCTTCCATTTGCCTGGTGAATCATGAGGTTTCTCAGTCTGAATATTTGGAAACGGGCACCATTCTTGGCCTTGTGGGAACTCCCTGCACTATTTCTTCTGTCTTTTGGGTAGTTCTTTTCCTGGTCTTGGATAATTCCCTCATACACGTAAGCACATCCGTACTTAGGGGAATTTCTCCAGTGTGACTGCCTACAGATTACATAGTTCTCTGTCTGGGTAGCTCTTTTCTGTCTGGTACTCTGTCCTGTGAATTCTTGTCTTGACCTCTCTATATTCTCTGCTTTGTCTACTCAGCTCTGGATTTTTCCTAGGCTCTGTTCAGATTCTTCTTTCTTTTGGCCTGGAAATTTTCTAGGCAGTTGCCTGGGGCAGTCATATGATTTTATGATTACTTACCTATGATTTCTTTCATTTCTTTCATTGTCCTTTATTGCCTGATGTCCTGTGTCTTGAAAGCTGTTGTTCCATCTTGGTTGGATGGAAAGCTGAGACTCCATCTTGGTTGAAGGTAGAAGTCTTTGGCTGCTTTGAATATTTTTTCTTTATCATTGATGTTTAGCAATTTGATTATGATGTTCCTTAATGCAGTTTTCCCCTCCTCCTCTGTTTGTTGAGCTTGAATCTATGAATTAATAGTTTCAGCAAGTTTGGAAATTTTTTTGGCCATTACCTCCTCAAATATTTTTTCTGTCCTCTTCATTTTGGACACTTTTATTATGTTATTTTCAAGTGCACTAATCTTTTCTTCTTCAATACCTGCTGTTACTACAACTAGTAGGTATTTCCTTTTTGCATTGAACAGGCATACCTTGTTTTATTGTGCTTTGCTTTATTGCACTTTGCAGATATCACACTTCTTAAAAAATGAAAGTTTGTGGCAACCCTGCATCAAGCAAGTCTTATCAGTGCCATTTTTCCAACAGCATTTGCTCACTTTGTGTCTCTGTGTCACATTTAGATAATTCTTGCAGTATTTTAAACTTTTTTGTTATTATAACATTTGTCATGGTGATCTGTGATGAGTGATCTTTGATATTACTATTGTAATTGTTTTGGGGCACCACAAGCTGCACACATATAAGATGGCAAACTTAATTGATAAATGTTGTGTGCTCTCACTCCTCCACCAACCAGCCATTCCCCTGTCTCTCTCCCTCTCCTTGGGCCTCCCTATTGCCTGAGATACAGCAGTCTTGAAATTAGGTTAATTAATAACCCTGCAGTTGCCTCCAAGTGTTCAAGTGAAAGGAAAAGTTGCATGTCTCATACTTTAAAATTTTTTTTGAAGGTTTTATTTATTAGAAGTGAGTGAGAGAGAGAGAGCACGAGCAGGGGAAGGGGCAGGGGGGAAGCAGAAACCCTGCTGAGCAGGGAGCTTGATGCAGGGCTCCAATCCCAGGACCCTGGGATCATGACCTGAGCTGAAGGCAGATGCTTAAATGACTGACCCACCCAGGTACCCCTATTTTTTTTTTTTTTTGAGAGTGAGTGGGGTGAGGAGGGGGGAAGGGCAGAGGGAGAGAGAGAATCTTCAACAGGCTCCATGGCCAGCACGGAGCCCAACTTGGAGCTCGATCTCATGACCCTGAGATCATGACCTGAGCTGAAATCAAGAGTTGGATGCTTAACCACCTGAGCCACCCAGGAACCCCAACATGTCTTATGCTTTAAATCAAAAGCTGGAAATGATTAAGTTCAGTGAAGAAGGCAGATCAAAAGCCCCATGCACCAAAGTGTTAGTGAAATTATGAATGCAGAGCAAAAGTTCTTGAAGGAAATTTAAAGTGCTAACCCAATGAACATATGAATGATAAGTGAAATCAGCCTTATTGCTGATATGGAGAAAGTTTGAGTGGTCTGGTTAGAAGATTGAACCAGCCACAACATTCCCTTAAGCCAAAGCCTAATCCAGAGCAAGGCCCTAACTCTCTTCAGTTCTATGAAAGCTGAAAAGATGTGTGAGGAAGTTGTAGAAGAGTTTGAAGCTGGCAGAGGTTGGTTCATGAGGTTTAAGAAGCTGTCTGTATAACATCAAAAGTGCAAGGTGAAACAGCAAGAGCTGATGTAGAAGCCGCAGCAAGTGATCCAGATGACATAGCTAAGATCATTACTGAAGGTGGCTACACTAAACAGATTTTCAATATAGACAAAACAGTCTTCTATTGGAAAAAGATGCCATCTAGGAATTTCATAACTAGATAGGAGAATGCCTAACTTCAAAGTTTGAGAGAACAGGCTGATTCTCTTGCTAGGGGCTAATGAAGCTGGTGACTTTAAGTTGAAATCAGTGCTCATTTACTATTCTGAAAATTCTATGGCCCTTAAGAATTATGCTAAATTGGGGCACTTGGTGGCTCAGTTGGTTAAGCATCCGACTCTTGATTTCAGCTTGGGTCGTGATCTCGGGGTCCTGGGATCAAGCCCTGTGTCAGGCTCCTCACTCAGCAGGGAGTCTGCTTGAGGATTTTCTCCCTCTCCCTCTGCCTCTCCCTCTGCTCATGCTCTCTCTTTCTCTAATATAAATAAATAAATCTTTAAAAAAAGAATTATGCTGAATTTACTATGTTTGCTCTATAGGTGGAGCAACAAAGCCTGGATGACAGCACGTCTGTTTACAACATGGTTTACTGAATCTTTTAAACCCACTGTTGAGACCCACTGCTCAGAAAAAAAGATTCCTTTCAAAATAGTACTTATTATTTTTAATAATGCACCTGGTGACCCAAGAGCTCTGATGGAGATGTACAGTTAGATGTATGTTGTTTCCATGCCTGCTCACACAAAATCCATTTGGCAGCTCATGGATCAAGGAGTAATTTTGACTCAAGTCTTATTATTGAAGAAATACATTTCATAGGGCTATAACTTCCACAGACAGTGGTTCCTCTGATGGATCTGGGCACAAAGTCAATGGAAAGTCTTCTGGAAAAGTTTTACTATTCTAGATGCCATTAAGAACATTTGTGATTTGGGGCACCTGGGTGGCTCAGATGGTTGAGTGTCTGCCTTCGGCTCCGGTCATGATCTCCAGGTCGTGGAATTGGGCCCCGCATCGGGCTCCCGGCTCAGTGGGGAGTCTGCTTCTCCCTCTGTCTCTGCCTTTCCCCCTGCTCCTGCTCTCTCTGTCTCTCTCAAATGAATAAATAAATAAGAAAATCTTAAAAAAACCCCACAAACATTTATGATTCATGGGAAGAGGTCCAAGTGTCAACATTACCGGGAGTGTGAAAGAAGTTGATTCCAACTCTAAGGGATGACCTTGAGGGGTTCCAGACTTCAGTGGAGGAAGTCACTGCAGATGTGGTGGAAACAGCAAGAGAACTAAAATTAGAAGTGGAGCCTGAAGATGTGACCAAACTGCTGCAAACTCATGATAAAGCTTTAGTGGATGAGGGGTTGCTTCTGATGGACTAACAAAGAAAGTTGTTCCTTCAGGTGGAAACTACTCCTGGTGACGATGCTGTGAACATTGTTGAAATGACAACAGAGGACTTAGAATATTCCATAAACTGAGTTGGCAAAGCAGCAACAGGGAATGAGAGTATTGACTCCCAGTTTGGAAAGAAGTTCTACTGCGGGTAAAATGTTATCAAACAGCATTCATGCTACAGAGAAATTTGTGAAAGGAAGAGTCAATTAATGTGGCAAACTTCTTTGTTGTTTTATTTTAGAAAATTGCCATGGCTACCTCAGCCTTTAGCAACCACCACCCTAATGAGTCAACAGCTATCAACACAGTGGCAAGACCCTCCACCCACAAAAAGAATATGACTTGCTGAAATTTCAGATAGTAGTTTGCATTTTTTAGCAATAAGGTGTTTTTAAGGTATATACATTGTTTTAAAGGATGTAATGCTATCGAATCCTTAATAGACTATGGTACAGTGTAAATATAACTTTTATTTGCACTGGGAAACCAAAAAATTAATTTGACTCACTTTATTGCAATAGTCACTTTATTGTGGTGGCCTGGAACTAAACCCCCAGTCTCCTGTATGGGATTAGGAATTTTTATTTTTAACAATCTCTAGGTGATTCCAATGGAGGTAGTTCAAATACCGTATTTTGAGAAAGACTGCACCAAGGGGGACGAAAAAGGTAATGATTATAGAAAAGAATATATAGTCTGATTTATAAAATATAGGCGAATCTTTTGCAGCTTACAGCCCTTGCCTTCAAATGACTGATTTTACTGTGATAACTTGACTTTATTCCAGTGGTTCAGAACCTAACCCACAGTATTTCTGTGGTATGCAGCTTGTTTCTCTAGAAGCTCAGTTTTTTTTTTTTTAGTAGTTTTGTGTTTCTTTAACATTCTTATTTTTTTCTGTACATTTTTGAACATATGAATATGGTTATGATAAGTGCCTTATTATATTTTTCTACTTTTGTTCCTAATCTTTTAAATGGGCTGCAAGTAAACCTATCCAGCCTTTTCTGTTATTCCTGTATGTTTCTATTGAGTGATTATTTCTCCATAATGTGTTGCATTTTCCTGCTTCTTTATATATCTGGTAATTTTTTATTTTCTGTAAGACATTTCAGTTTTAGCTTCTTGAGTACTACGTATTTTCATATTCCTATAAATATTCTTGAACTTTGTTCTTGGACAAAGTTACTTTGAAACTGGTTGATCCTTTTGTGACTTTCTTTTAAAGTTTTGAAGCTTGTTTTAAGGTTTTTTAGTTAGGACCAGAGCAGTCTTTAGAGCTATTTTTTCCACCACTCATGAGGCAATACCCCTATGGGTCGTCCACCTGATGCCTTGTAAATTAGGAGAGTTTCCATTCTGGCTGGTGGGATCGCTGTTCCCAGCCCTGTGTGAGCTCTGTGGATTGTTCCTCTGATCATTTGACATCATTTCTTTCCCTGACCGTGGGGAGACTTGAGTGGACCTTCCTGCAGCTTTTAAGAACTCTCTCTCTCTGCAGCTCTCTCCTCTTTGGTATCCTGCCCTGCAAACTCTAGCTGCTTTGACCTTTTCAGACTTCCAGCTGCATCCTCTCAACTCAGAGACTTTTGGACTCTGAATGGGTCTCCTTTGCTGCGCTGCCACCTGCAAACCTTTTCAAGGCAGTAAGCTGGAACAATCCTTCGTTTTTCCTTTTTTAGGGACCAGTATTTTTCACTACTTGACATCTAAGTCAGATAGCCTTTTAAAAAAATTACACTTTATACTTTTTTAAAAAAGTAATGTCTGATGAAAAGTTAAATCTGACCTCTGGTATTGCATCTTGCCCAGAAGTGGAACTTAGATTTTAATTTTCTAATTAATTGTATTTTTGCAAAACTTTGTTTATATGTTCATTTAACAGTTACTTTTTTTCTTTACAATTTAAGAAATATAAATTCAAAGGTAAGTTTATTTTAAAATTAGATCACTAGGAAAATTTAATATTAAATGTGATTTAAACTTAGTTTGCTTTATAGATTAGAAATTCTTCTTTCTAGAAACATTTGTGTTATCAAATTCATATTTATTTATTTATTTCAAACTCATCTTAATACATTTTTAAGAATGTGTTTTATATGTGTATTGTTTGGTTATTTAATTTTAAGTGAATTTATGAAGTTTGTTTTATTCCAAATTTAAGAAACAGCAATTTGAAGGTACACTCACACATTCTTGCCTTTACATTTTATCATAAAATTATTTTAGCTTTAAAACAATTTCAGGGGCGCCTGGGTGGGTGGCTCAGTTGTTAAGCGTCTGCCTTCGGCTCAGGTTGTGGTACCAGGGTCCTGGGATCGAGCCTCACATCAGGCTCTCTGCTCAGCCGGGAGCCTGCTTCTCCCTCTCCCACTCCCCTTGCTTGTGCTCTCTCTCTTGTTGTGTCTCTCTGTCAAATAAATAAATAAAATCTTTAAAAAGAAATAAAATACTGATTTCAATCCATAAGTTCAAATATTCAAAGTATAGTAAGAATTTCATTATTTAGAGAATTGTCTTAATGTAAATGGCCTTTTAATGTATCTTAACAAATTTTTCTTACAGATCAGGGGACTGATTTTGGATGGCTCTTCAGAGTTAATCCAAGAAGGTCTCAAAAGTGGCTTTCTTCATCCACTTTCTGAAAAATGGGACAAGTGTAGTGAGCCCATTACTTTACCACTTGATACCTGCAATTTGTCAGAATTATGTACAATGGCAAAGCATTTGCCTTCTCTGAATGAAATGGATCTTCAGGCATTACAATTGATGGAAGAAGATATGTCTGTTACAGAACAGGATTTATTTTCACGGGTTGTTGAAAACAACTCTAGCTTTACAAAAATGATTACTTTAATGGGACAGAAATACCTGGTGCCACCAAAAAGCAGTTTTCTTTTGTCTGACATTTCTTGCATGCATCCACTTCTGAACTGTAAGTAATTACTATGTTATTAGAAAAATAGAATTTTTTTTGTGGCCTTGGAAGTCAAGAGCTAGTCTGAATGCTGAATGTGGGTCAGCAGTATGAGGATAGAATAAATGCTTAATTTTCTCTGTGATTTTTTCTTTTAAATTTAATTTTAAAGTTCTGACTTTTGGTTTAAAAACATTTAAAAAATTTGAAAAAATTAAAAAATAAGACTAATGAACAAAGGGTCAAAAAGTAATTTGTCCCCATGAAAGCAAATGTAGTTGCTGCTCTGTACTTAAGAATTCACGATATAATTGGGCTTGGCCAAACAATTTTATTTAACTTTTCTTTATAGCAAAGTAGGAACACTTCAGATATGAATATTAACACCATGGCCTTTTAGGTTACATTTTAAGCTAGTGTTACAGTTTATTGTCTAAAATTTCTTGAAATATTTTTCCTGTATAATGTCAACAAAATTTAAAGATTGAAGTCCACATTCATATACACCTGAATTTGAATTTAGATTCTAAAGCTTAACTGTTAATCTTTGAGCTATTCACTTCACAAAACTGAGCCTCAGTTTCCTAGTTTATAAAATAGTTATGATAATAATCTACTTCTGAAGGTCATTTTGAAGATTAAATGAATTAATCTGCATCAGTTGCTTATCTCAGGGATTTTTATGTATTTAATAAGTCATAATCTAAGAAATGAGGTAGGAAAGAAATGTATTGATGAAATTTAATTTAATATGCTCTTGTTTTTTGGATATTTAATATAAAAATTTTAAGTTATTAAATGACATAGTTCATTAAGGAAAAGCTTCTTTTAATTGCTGTCAAGCCATGTCAAGCCATGAGTGGTTATTCATGTCACAGTGTCATAAATTCTTCAGGGTAAATGACAGGATAATAAACTAATGGGAAAATTATGTTATATTTGAACATTATTTTCTGTTCTTTGTTATTTTTGTGACTTTAACAGTTTAAAAACCATTACTTCCTCATTTTAATTTGCACTCTTTTGATTACTTGTGAAATTGTACATTTACCAAAATATACCTATGTTTATAAAAGCAGAAGGGACAGCTCTTCCTTATAGTAAAATACCAGTTAATAAATGTAGGTGGAATGATAGAACTAGAAAGTTTCTATTTGGCAAACAACATAATAATTAGATTTCAAAATAATAGGTGAAAAGATGAGACAGGAGATATTTGCACGGTCTTAAAGTATCTCTTTACAAGATACTTATTAATTACAAAGTGAAAACTGGCGAAACCTGGTAGACAACCCTTTAACCAAATGATTAAAGATAGTACCACCAATAATGAGACATTTTGACATGTTGTATTTCCTGATTACTTGGTAGTATTCTTGCCAAACATTAATAATCTAAACTTAATCACGAGGAAATACCAAACCGAAATTAAGAGACATTCTATAAAATAACTGGCCAATAGCCTTCAAAGTGTCAAGGTCATGAGTGGCAAAGACTGAGGAACTTTCCCAGATTGGAAGAGATTGAGGAGACATGGCGATTAGATGCAGTGTGTGATCCTGTTTTGGATCCTGGGTCGGAAAAAAAGACACCTGTAGACAATTGAGGAAGTTTCATTTTGGTCAGTGTGTCAGTTTTAAGATAAATTATTTCAAAACGAAGCTTAAAAAAAGTAAAGCAAAAAATGAAAAAAACAAAACAAAACAAAAAACCCATTCAGGTTTGAAAGGACCATATTAACATGGCTGTCAAGACATAAAGGGCAGGGGCGCCTGGGTGGCTCAGTCGGTTAAGCGACTGCCTTCGGCTCAGGTCATGATCCCAGGGTCCTGGGATCGAGCCCCGCATCGGGCTCCCTGCTCCGCGGGAGGCCCGCTTCTCCCTCTCCCACTCCCCCTGCTTGTGTTCCCTCTCTTGCTGTCTCTCTCTAATAAATAAAATCTTAAAAAAAAAAAAAAGACATAAAGGGCATTTACAAATGATTGGTGTCCAGCTAAGTGAGCTGTAGTTATTTTCAGGTAGTCTTTGCAAAAATAGCAATAGGTAAACTTATGTTAAAATCCCCGTGGTACTAAATTATAAGGGAAACCTCAATTTTTTTAGATTCAATTATTTTATTTGAATAAATGTTGTAAATCCTTTTGTTGCATTCCATTATATTTGTGTCTGTAGTCAATGCACTTTAGTTTCTAAAGTGATCACTTACAGAAGGTAGGTATTTTCTGAAATTGTGTGTGTGTTTTCAGGTAGGAAAACATATGATGTAATTGTGATGGATCCACCATGGCAGAACAAATCAGTTAAAAGAAGTAACAGGTAAGTGTAAATAAATTGTCTATTAGATACACTTTGGTTTTTTTTGTTTTTTTCCCTTCAGTTTCCAGCATGGACCCAACGTGGGGCCTGAACTCAACGAACCTGAGATCAAGAACTGAGCTGAGACCAAGAGTTAGGTGCTTAACTGACTGAGCCACCCAGGCACCCCATCCTTTTCTAAAAACTATTGTCCTTTTTACATTCTGGTTACATTGCTAAAAGCATTACTTTGAGATGTAGGTTGTCTGACCCTACTAAAGTATTTTCACTTCAATTTTTAATTCCCCTGATTAGGTAATTCTCTTGCTGTGGAATGACGTATGGGTATAAGAACGTCATAAGTAATATACTTATTAATGATTGAGGTTACTGACTGAACCAGTTCAGGGATATTTCTGTAACACCAAAGGGCAACATTTTTGCTTCCTTTGATATCCCATTTTAAAGTTTAAAAATATGTGCCAGAATATGGGCATACCTTGTTTTATTGTGCTTTACTTTATTGTACTTTGCAGATACTGCCTTTTTAAAAAATAATTGAAGGTTTGTGGCAACCCTGCATTGAGCACATCTGTTGGCACCATTTTCCAACAGTATTTGCTCACTTTATGTCATATTTTGCAATATTTCAAACTTTTTCATTATTTGTTTTAGTGATCTGTGACAGATTATGACTCACTGAAAGCTCAGATGATGGTTAGCATTTTTTAGCAATGAAGTATGTATGTTGTTTTTTTAGACATAATGCTATTGCATACTTAGTTGACTACAGTATAGTGTAAACATAACTGTTACATGCACTGGGAAGCCCCAAAATTAATTTGACTTACTTTATTAAAGTAATATTAGCTTTGTTGTGGTGGTCTGGAACTGAACTGCAGTATCTCTGAGGCATGCCTGTATAGTTTTCCTTAGTAGCTACTATGAATGAATTTGTATAATCCATCTTAAATTTGTTTTATGTCACCTTTTTTGTTTGTCACATCTTAATCAGTTCAATTAATTTCTGAGAGGACATTTCCTTTTTTTTTAATTTTATTTTGTGTTATATTAATCACCATACATTACATCATTAGTTTTTGATGTAGTGTTCCATGATTCATTGTTTGTGTATAACACCCAGGGCTCCATTCAATATGTGCCCTCTTTAATACCCATCACCAGGCTGACCCAACCCCCCACCCTCCTCCCCTCAAGAACCCTCAGTTTGTTTCTCAGAGTCCATAGTCTCTCATGGTTTGTCTCCCCCTCCGATTTCCCCCTTCATTTTTCCCTTCCTACTATCTTCTTTTTTTCTTTTTTTTAACATAGAATGGATTATTTGTTTTAGAGGTACAGGTCTGTGATTCATCAGTCTTACACAATTCACAGCGCTCACTATAGCACATACCCTCCCCAGTGTCCATCACCCAGCCACCCCATCCCTCCCACCCCCAACACTCCAGCAACCCTCAGTTTGTTTCCTGAGATTAAGAATTCCTCATATCAGTGAGATAATATGATACATGTCTTTCTCTGTTTGACTTATTTCACTTACCATAATACCCTCTAATTCCATCCACGTCGTTGCAAATGGCAAGATTTCATTTTTTTTATGGCTGCATAATCCATTGTATATATATACACCACATCTTCTTTATCCATTCATCTGTTGATGGACATCTTGGTTCTTTCCATAGTTTGGCTATTGTGGACATTGCTGCTATAAACATTGGGGTGCATGTACCCCTTCGGATCACTACATTAGTATCTTTGGGGTAAATACCCAGTAGTGCAATTGCTGGGTCCTATGGTAGCTCTATTTTCAACTTTTTGAGGAACCTCCATACTGTTTTCCAG